TAATAAATAAACGAATTAGTCTGTTCTAACATAATCCAAACTTATAGATAACTTTGGACAGTATTTTGATATTATGTTTTTACAGTAAACCCGCAAAGAATATATTCGCAAATGATTGTTCAGGAAAAAAAATCAATCCTTTTAATATATATATATATATATATATATAGATTGAATGACTGCTTTAACATCACCTTCACTTATCTGTCTATATCTTAAATGCCTGGTTGATAATGGAATATTTCATATCATCAGAAACTCATCAGTCGGATATACTTGAATCCAAGTGTTGATGTGCCCAATGAGACTCGAACTGCATGTCGGCTACTTTTAATATCACAGTGTAAATAAAGGTTCTGTTAAAGTATTTTTTTGAACAAGCCAAGTTTTTGTCTGAAACTAATACATTTATTCCAGTTTTAATAACGGAGTCATACTAACGTTTTTGAACGGACAATATTTGTATTACACTAGGTAAATAATTTTTAGCTGTCGTAATTCAGCAGAGAGCTAACACTTTGTATGCTACTTATATTGACACAAGTAGTATATGACGTTAGTCGTGAACAAAATGTCTGGCAGCAGAGAGACAAGAGGATCGAACTGTAAAGAATGGAAACAGAGTGCAATTTGTATGCAAATGCAAGAACAATGAAGTCTGAGTCATTTTGGAGACAATTGATGGACATTTTACAGATTAAGCGTTTACTATATGACTGTTAGATTTTACTAACAAGTCCTATAATTTCCTGTTCAATACATTCGATTGTCCCCACTAGTGTTCTGTTCACTACAACACCATAAGTGATTAAGATGATAATATGTTAGTATTTAAACATAAACATATCAAAATATTTTCACAATAAAGTATACGTAAATTTAAGTAACTCAAGTTAAAGCTTTTGAAGTAGTATCAACGTTTTACAAATAGGAAAATGTGCCGTTGGTAGGAGTGAGTTTTCATGAAACTCGGGCTTAGAGTTTCATATAGCCCCCCATCAACTATCTAAATGTAAACCGCTTGCACTACGCTGTAAGATTACGTAAATGAGAGTTAATTTGCATGCCCGATTGAAAGAGTACAATATTCTTAGTAAGAATTTATGTCTTATTGTTGATAAGTAAGATTGAAATTGATCATTTGCCGATTCTTTATTTTCATTCTGAATAAATGGAAGCTTTTGACAAAAGGTTGTATTGAAGTAGTACATCAAATCCCACTGAACAATTGAATAACTATCTGAACTCATTAGACAACATGCTATAGTTTGAAGTAATAGGTACTTTGTTTGAGTTTCAGTATGAATACCAACACAGCGGTGCAGGTATATCCATCTGATGAGTCCTAAAAAGTACTAAACGTGTGTTCCAGATTTTACTATTAATCATATACTCAAATACAATAAAACATTTTTATTACTTTCTTTTTAACCAAATGTCATTTAATTGTTTTACAGTCCAATAATTACATTATCCCTTAATAAGTTCTTAACATACGGATTAAATGAATTGAATATTTATTTACCATTCATTCTAAACACTTCGTAATGTTTGGAAGTATCATCATTAAATACATTTTATTTTGTATAAATAACAAACTAATCAATAGGTTTAGCCTTTCTTTCCAGTGCAATTATTTTTACTGTAATTTCATTCACCTGATTTTACACACTGCCTTTTCTTTCACATTTCTTTTCTGCATTTATGATATCATCATCATATTTTACATCCATGATCTATCTACTAAATACAATATGCTTGGTCTTTTTTTCTATAATTCCCATCGTCTTTATCAGTAATCATCATCTTCTTTGTGTCCAGTGTTTTCCAAAGATATTTGCGTGTATTTTGGTATTTATCTAAATGATAAACTTATTCATATATATATATATATATATATATATATATATATATATATATATATATATATATATATATATATATCAAAGTTGTCTTTACAGCTACTGTTTCCAGCCCAATATATAAATTTTATTTCATTTCACTCTATTTCGAACCACATTTTATTTTTACACTCTTCTAATTAGGGTAAAAGAAAACAACCGGATTATTATTATTATGGTGTGTGTGCGTATTTTTCAGACTATATTATACAATAGTTTCAACAGAAGAAAAATGTTATAAATTGTATTATCTAAATCCCTTATGGATGTGAACATGTGTAAACTTTGGTTAATAATATTGATTTGGTTATAAGACGTCTACTAACAATGATAATAATAACATTACCAGTAACAGGATATCTTTTAAAAACTGTTTATTAGTTTGCGAATCGATATTTTTATGCAGGTTTATGTCATGTATCCAAGCGTAGTCCCGCTTAACAATAATAAGATAATTCGTGGAATGCTTTATTTTGACCCGGTTTTTATATTTTCTAATCATGAGAACAGCTGAAAAAGTTATTTACTTATTATGAAACAGTACTTTATACGTAAACTGTAAATATAGTGGTGATAACATTAGTGGTAATAATAATACTCATATTTGTTGGTAATGGGGATCTGACCTATTGTGCAGTCTAAGCAGGTTGTTTATAGTCTAGAATTAACTTAAGAAGAACTATGAAATGAAGTTTTTATTACCTTTTTCAGTGCCTACTGACCAATAAATTGTATTACGGAATTTGAGAGACAAAGATGATTCTTAATGTCTCTTGTGATTTCAACAAATATTGCAACTTTTTACCATTTCTAAATAATCACTGTATAAAGTACTACTTATTTTGAGAACTTTTCTTTAGGATATAAAATTTGTAGTTTATTCAAGATATGTGACGTAACTTATATCTCAATAAATAAATTCAGATACATTTAGGTGTGATAAAAATGCTGACCAGTGTGAGATTCAATATTCGATTTTTGATTAAGGCCTTCTACTCTACATTTAACCTAAACTATTACTTGTATGAAACCTAAAGTCAATCAAGTCTTATTTTCAAGTTGAATTATTAGCTTTCTCTTGATAATTTGAAACTTATTTGTGAAAAATAGTCTTTAGACTTATCACATTTATTGAATCTGCATACTAAAAAGTTGCTTTTTAATAAACTGTTGAACTTTTGGTGCAAATTGATGATATACTCAAAGTTAGCAAAGTGTAAATTTTGCGTTCTTGCTTATGGGTAAAACCTGTCAAGAATCGAGAAACTGTATTTATATTTATATGCTAAATTTGAAAATTTAAGGCTATTAAGGTTTTATGGCTATCTAAACCAGAGTACTAAGAGTAAGATTTGAGTCCCCAATGGGATCATCAACGTTTTGAAAACGTTAAATGCTACTAGTTGAAGGTTTTAATAGAACAATCCAAAATTAATTAAAATTGTCCAATTATACCTAGTTTTTCCCCGTCTAATGATCAAATTCTAGTATTCTATTAAATTATCCACTATTTGCACGGAAGGTTTGTGAAGACTGTTAAGCAAACTGACATAAGTTAGATAACTGCTGGGATCCAGATGTCACTGGATAACTGTACCTTCCTAGTATATAACCTCTTAGCTGTACACATTCACAAGTCTAACTGACCGTAATGGACCTTTAAGTTTCTCGGCGAGGCATTAACTTCAAAACCACTGATCTGGAATCCAATTGTTTAGATTTCTATATTCAGTCAACCATCTTGGGACCCAGGCAGACACCTAATAATGGCATTGGAAGATAGTTGGTCAAAATCGCTAATTGTTTGAAGTTAAAAATACAAACTGTTGGAGGCTAGTCAAGCATTCTGAAAGTTAAGGATTTGTCAAGAGATCTGAAAATAATGAGTTCGATTACTTCCGTGGTTGTGGATAAGTCTCGATGAGAAGTCTGTTACTAAAGCAAAATAGCTATCTAGTATTATTTATACTACATAAAAATACATAATTGAATGTAAACATTTCTATTTATAAAAGACAACTACAAGGTCTGATTCTTAGTGCTGAAAATATCCACTAAACTTGAAATATGAATATAATATTATTTGCTTATTTTGTCATTTTTAATACTTAAAACATTGCACGACATAGGTTTTTCATATATCCTGTTCTTAATAATAATGTCCCATAATATCTCAAGAGTATTTTAATTTATTATTGGGTTGAAACCAAATGTTACTGGTGGAAACTGTTTCTTTTTTTCAACTGTGTAGTCTGACATATTACTTGAATTTGATTATTTTGTACTATTTAGATATGTTAATACCTTATTATATATTGATGACATCAAAATATGTATTGAAGTTGTATTTTTTGTATCTTTTAATCAGACAAACGGAACTATAGGTTACTGATTTCCTGTAGGCCGAGAGATGAAATTCGACTTGATTCTTAAATTTACATAAATTGAATGTTTGATTCATCTCGGATACATTTTTCGGAGATTTTATTGAATAACTATATATCTATTATTCTGATTATTTTTAAACCCATGTTTTGTAACTTTTAACTATAAAGATATGAGTAAAAAATTTACTAACTAGGTTATTTTTCTGTCTGGAAGATACATAAAACAACAAACCAAAATAAGCTTAACCAATAAACGTTTAGTTGTTCTGGACTAGTTCATTTAATGTATCTATCTTCAGTGATCTGTTTGTTTGTGTATAATTTTTTTGGAACTTCTGATAACCCTTGTTGTTAAGAAACGGTTTGTACATAAAATGATGTTTAATCATTAACATAGAGAATGTAGAGTCAGGATAAACTTGTTCTTAAAAATACTGACCCGACGCCTTCATCTTTTCGCTCAATTTTCTAAGGTAAGTGTGAGAAATATCTAAGAATTCCTCTTATAAAATCCATTCGTTACAGTTCTGTTGCTAAGATTAATTCCGTTATATTATTCTGAAGTTAATGATGGACTATAGTTATTTTATCGAATAGTGTCATCATCACCAGTTACCTTTTTGTTGAAATTAATGCAAAGAAATAACATAGTAAACATATATACTCAAGCATTCATTTAATTTGTCCTCCATCTTTTATTTACTAATTTTAGACTATCAATACGAAGAATTTGTGGTACATTCAAAAATGCTTCCAATTATGCAACGATCGACATGGGTTCATATTGATTTGCCAGGTCAAGGAGATGGTGAAGAAGAACTACCATCAAAGTAAGAAAGATTTGTAATCACTTTTTTATATTTATCAAGAAATCATATTTAAAAACTAAACAAAAAGGTTCACTTTTGTTCTAAGTCAATCAATTTTATGTAACGCACAACTTGTTACACATGTACATTTGTTGAAGTTATAATAAATTAACATATTAAGTTGTCAGATTAGTAGAAATAATAACAGTATCATCAGTAATAAAAGTGATTAGGCATAGAAAAAGTAAGTAGAGGAGGAAATATGGTTCATGAAATTAGAAGTCTTAAAACAATTTGGAAACTTGAAATCTAAGGACGAACGATGAGTGAATATACCTACTTCATTATAAATGATTCTGAGCACATCATTTAAAGTATCTAACCACTGGTTAAGATAATTGTATGGATTCTAATCGTAAAGTTTCTAACGACCTACATGGTTTATTCCAAAAAATGCATGAACTGATACTATAAATCACTTTTACTGCCCCTAGATATTTTCTCAACTTATTTCTACAACATCTAACTACTCATATCAAGATAGTTGGCAATTGGGTGTGTTTAATACATGTCCAGAACACCACAGGAAATACAAATAAAGGCTCAACAATTTATCAATCATTTTTTCATCTTTATCTGGTACCTTACATCTAATCTCAGTAGTGCTTCCTACATGGCCTCAATATTCCTAAGAAATACTCCAAAGGAATCTATGATCAAACACTAGTAATTAATGAATGTCTTTTTTTCAAAAGCCAGTTTTATGCTATAGAAAACGGTATGACTTTTCAGAACAATTTCCTACTATCATATAGAGGATAAGTTAATCTAATAATATAAGTTGATTAAACGGTTAAATAACTTCCTGAAATAATTAGTCAGTTAACAATTATCTTGTAGTACGCGCAAAATATATTTATTGAAGTTCTATTATCAGTTATTAGTTTGTATTCTTTTCATTTTAAGAAAAAAATCAGTATAGGGTTGTGGAGATTATTAAGTTCTTGATTGAGATCTTGAACCGATTGATGTTAGACCACCATTAAAAACCTGAAAGCACTGAGCGACCGTTTCGTTCTATTGTAGGACTCTTCAGGAGTGTGCAACCACGATCCCGCCCGCGGAATTCGAACCTAAGACCCTAGTATTGCGCGCGGACACTTAACCTACTTGACCACTGAGCCGGTCGGCATCCAACGGTGTTAATGTCTAGCCTCAAACGATCCACAAAATTGCGCGACCATCCTCCATTGTCTGAGGTAGATACCTGTCTCTACCCAACACGGAATAAGTCCACAGGTTAGACGTTCGCCCGCGAGGCTGAAGGCCCCGGCTTCAAATCCCGCGAGCGGGATCGTGGATACGCACTGCTGAGGAGTCCCACAATTGGACGAAACGGTCGTCTAGTGCTTCCGGGTATTCAGTGGTGGTCTATCATCAATAGGTTCAAGATCTCAACCAAAAAAATATGTCTTGACTAAAAGCTTGTACCCCATTGTTAATACATAAATTAATATTATTCTAATTAAAACTTGATTCTTCTCATTAATATAAACGAATTATGCTGGTTGATGAATTTATTTCATTTTTTGATGGAACAGTGAAAAAAAAGATCTAAAAAATCTTTTCATTTCATAAGTTCTTATTATTTATAAATAATTTGAAAATACACTAGTTCGTGACCATTTTAAAACAAGTGAACGTTAGTTAACATGAAAGAAGTACTCTGGTTATAACAATCAATATCAGTCTGATATTACGTGAATGTAACTAATAGGTTCAAAGATTAGGACTAGCCTATTACTGTTATACACTAAGCAGTGGTCTCTACCTTTAATTTGAGAGAGATTTATAATCATATATAGATTTGAATTTGTGTTATCTATTATCGGAGTCAAACACCTATCTTCGCTCTAATAGATCAATTAACAATAACAAATACTATGTTGTATGAACCGTAATATTGATCTTCTTGAATAAAAAAGAAATTGAATACTTGATATAAACATCGATTTCTTAGTGATCCCAGCCGTATCATATCAATAAGAATTGACCATTAGGGAATTCATCTATCCAATTTACTGGGTGGTAACTCAGTAAGTGATCTACAATACTCAAGCAGTTTTAGGGAAAGTACAATATAGCATTAGTTACTAACTAATAACTGATTAAAGAAATATATCCATCTTGATCCATATCCCACCAGTACCACTAATATGTTCTCATAAATTAATAGAAAAATTTTTTACATCCGATTTCCACAGATTTCTACATAATTCATATCTATGAAGAAACTAATCTTATAATAGTGTAATGATTGGGTACCGCTGGTCTATAAGATGTCAAATTCTCAGTTTAGACACTTATTAATAATAATCGTATTAAGAAAACCTACATTAGTTCTTGACTACCAAACCATGTCATTAATTCATCATGGTTTTTTATCTATCATTTGATTTAATAAGTGGGAAGTTTGTTATGTCATTGAATCAATTAAATAACTGTTACTTAATGTCACATACTTTTGTATCAAGGATAGGAAAAGTAAATTTATTGTCCTCAACTTCAAAATAATTCCGATTTCTAAGCTTAATTAGACAGGATTAAATAATTTCAAATACTCATTATCACCAATAAGTTTTTAATATTCTAAATAAAGTGAGAAGGAAAAGCCTTGGAGAATAACATAAATTCATTATATTTCAAGGCTTCTCATAAGCTAGCAAACAGCTTAAATTTACACTAGTAATGTTATAAAACATTTGTTATATACCATAATCAATGAAGCTTGATTGAAAATGACATATAAAAAACGAAACAACATATTTAACATAATAATTAACATTTGTTAGTATTGTAGTGCATGCTACTTATTCTGATAAATATACGTATTATGTAGCGTCGATAGGAAATGGAATGCCTGACAGCAGAAGATTGAAATGAATAGAGCAGAAAGGAAATTGAAGAGCAATTAAATGACAACAGGATTAGAGGAATAATGGAGTATATTATAAACAACTCAAAGAAGATGTGCCAATGATGTATTTAATGCATGATTTTCATATTTTAAGAAGGCACTCTATAATTTTTCATAAGACGATAAATTGATTTGCCCCACCTGAATTCTCGTTCATTACAGTACTTATACATTAAAGGTGAAGTTATCTAAGGAAAGAAGAGAAATCAAAAATGTTAATGGAATATATAAAACTTTAAAACTATTCAGAATGTTTACACAATAAATTTTACTTAAACAAACATACATTTTAACAGACATTATACACACTGAATACACAAACTTGTACAATACTGTTCAACAGTAATTAGAAAGGATCATGTGTTTAAGAAATAGATGTTATGTCTTAAAAATATACACTTGGACCTTGAAAAAAACACAAATACTATGGCAAACTATGTAGCCTATCAAGTTGCAACGTTGAATCATCTGTAGTTACGAACTAAACGGAATAACACAATTTCATAGTTTTAAAAGAACCCCTGTCCATGATAATTAAATAATTCATATGCAAATCATTGCTACCGAACTCAATGTTATTTTATGATTTGTTAAACAATTATGATAAATAAACCTATGAAAAATGTGAGTCGATTACGAGATAAACATCACCAATCAAAATGGATGATTTCCATATAATATTAGGAAAAATAATAATAAAAGTTAAGAATATTAATCATTTAAAGTTGATTCAGTAACCTTTCGATTTACCACTTACTGAGAAACTTAAAGATTTTGAATTCCGTCCTAAGGTGAAATCATGAATACACACTGATAAATAGTCCCATAATAAGTTAGAATATCTGTTAAGTAATTCTTGATTTTTACTAGTTGTCGGTAAAGTAAAACTACAAAATACAAATCCAACTATAAAATTTCAACAAACAATTTAACCAGTTTATTATTATTCAAGTATAGTTGAATTATTTCTTAATTTATTTGATGTATACTGATATTTCACAGGTTAAAATCATGAGTCAATTGAAGCTAGACCACTATGGAAAACCTGCAAGCACTGGACGGCCGTTTCGTCCTAGTATGGGACTCCTCGGCAGTGCGCATCCACGATGCCGCACCCCGCGAGATTCAAACCCAGAACCTCATGATTTCAACCTGTGAAATTTCTAAAAATCTCCACGAAACCCATTCTGATAATAATCAACTGCTCACTAGTGACTTACTTCAAGAGATACTCCTGGAGTTCTAATGAGAAGCCGTTACCAGTGGAGTTCAACCAGGTCTATTGTGAGATATCAGCTCACTGAAGACAATGGTGTACGGTAGCCCAAATTCGTGGATTGGTTGAAGTTAGAAATCAACACCGTTGGATGCCGGCTCAGTGGCCTAGTGGTTAAGTGCTCGCGCGTGAAACCAGCGGGTCCTAGGTTCGAATCCCGCGGGGCGCGGGATCTTGGATGCTCACTGCCGAGGAGTCCCATACTAGGACGAAACGGCCGTCCAGTGCTTGCAGGTTTTCCATAATGGTTTAGCTTCAAGTGACTCATGATTTCAACCTGTGAAATTTCTAAAAACCTTCACAAAACCCATTCTGGTATACTGACATTGTTAAAATTTCCATTAACATTTCACCAGTATTGTAGTAAACAAAACACCAGTGGAGAAAATCGAATGTATTTAACACGAAATTACAAGACTTGTTATTAAAATCTAATAATCATGTAGTAGACGCTTAATCTGTAAAATGTTCATCAATTGTCTTAAAATGACTCAGACTTCATTATTCTTGCATTTTCATACAAATTGCATTCTGTTTCGATTCTTTACTGTTCGATCCTCTTGTCTCTCTGTTGCCAATCATTTTGTTCACGACTAGTATCATATACTACTTATGTTGATATACGTAGCACACAACACAATATTTCTTTATTACTTAAAAAATATTATTTCAATGAATTATTGTATATCACGGGAGTATAGTTTATTTATTTCTTGATATTAACTGTATTCTGTTCTTCACAAGCAAAAAGCTCATTGATCATAGAGT